ATTAAGTACTTGTTGGATCACCTAACGTGTGTGTTAGGTGATCAAGCAAACCTGTGGCTGCATCCAACAATTTTTGTATTTTTCCAAAATCTGACAGGAATCCCAGCTTCATGTAGCAGATATGCAAAGTTAAGGAAGTAAACAGGATTGGAAGTACTTACTCATGCTCCTCTTTTTTACATTCTTCATACTACTTCCATCACTTTTTGTGTATACAAACAATTGGCTGTGAGGACTTTCTTCTTAAAGGAGAGACTGTCCTGAAGTGTGTGCCTCTTTCCCCATTGTAACAATTATAGCGTACCTCTCGCGTGGAAATTTGTAACAGCTATAAACATTTTTGCCTTAAGGCACTGTCATACAACATGGTCTACAGACTAGTTATCCTCAAACACACGCTGGTCTTGTACATCTTCAGTGTGTGAATTTGTAAGTATTAGGTGTTCAATCTTGAGTTGTTTTACCGGTATGATATTTAAACAAGAATGATAGTACGTAATCAGTGTTACTACCCACTTCAGAACATTGTGCAGACTAGCACAGGAGGCAGGCGTCCATATCATGCATGTCTGTATTTTAATCAACAACTCATGTTTCACCCGCACTATCCACCCTGCTCGAAGCGCATTATTATGCTTCTTGTCTAACTGATGTGATTGTGTGTTGGGCTCTGAGTGCTGCTAAAACATGGGTGACCTACACTCACACTGTGGCTGAACGCATCCTGTGCAGACACAGATGAGCACTGAAGCCACTCTGCTAATGTGCTGCTCACGCTACACCTCCTGTGTAGACACTGCGCAAGGAAACAAACTAAGTATTTTTGCATAATCCGGCCCTTTTCCACTTCATTTCACAGACATCATTGAGATGTGGTACATTCTAGCCACAAACCTCAAGGAATATTATGTTTTCAAGAGTGTAAGGGTGTAGAACCCATTTAAAACTAATACAAAGAAAGCATTCAGTTAGTCACTGGAAGGACTTCTGTCACGCATCTTTCCACTAACTCTCTTTTTGTAGACTGCCAGAGATCATAAACACTCCACACTTGACAACATATAAAATAGCTCAAAACTATGTTGGAATAAATGAACTCAAAGGTTTATGTAATGCATTTGAATTGACATTATTTGTTCTTCAAAAGGCTTGAAGTCTAGCACAGTTTGTCACTATAAGTTGACTGAAATCATCATAGCTTACACTGCACAGATGCAAATCCTCTCTCTCGCCTTCCTTTCTCTAACCTCTCTCTCTCTCTTATCACACTACTACTACTTTTTGAGGTCCCTTTCCTGCTTGACGCCCTGGTAAGCAATTTCCTCTGCCTCTATTTTTTAGACCATAATTTTGATTGATAATTATCGTCGGGGACATAATTCTGTTGAGCCACCCAGCAGAGTGAAAGACTAGTAGAATAAAATAGAAATGGTGTGTTGTTGGGTGCATTCGAGCGTAGCCACAACAAATGAATGGATAAATCTCTCAGAGCTGCACTCTGCACTGCCAATTCAAAGAGACCAGCAGCCAATGCCGCAGAGAGAGGAGAAAACTTACTTGTCCATGACTTGCTTTCTCTCTCTCCCTGAAGCCTAACTTTACGGCCTTTGGTTTCAAACATAGAACTTGTGATTCATCCTCTGTTACCCAGTCTCCTGCTTTTGTTTTTAGAAAACCTAGCTGTACCCTAAAGGATTATCAGGCTGGTCTGAGCTGCTAATAAGCACATGTGACAGTATAGTCTGAGTTAAAGCCCCTTGAGGCAAATTGTGATTTGTGATATTGGGCAACATAAATAAAATTAACCTGACTTGACTCAGTTATATTGTTGTAATGTGGGATACTCCTTTGTGTAATCCAGTATGAACTTCTTCAAATAAGACACCATAAGTCAAGAGGCATTGTATCAAGTCCGTGATGTAATGTAAATCTAGATGAGATTCATTCTTCCTCAGCAGATGAAGTTTGCCCTGTTTTTAGTGAAAGACACAATTTCTATTCTTCTTCTGACTTTTCATCTACGCTGGCCTAAAAGTTGTGACAGAGTTTGTCCCCATGTGGACGTTAAGTAGTTGTTTCGGAGCCTTTGATCATATCCCAGGATTGGGGCAGTATCTCAAAGGAAGAAAAAGGTAACAATGTGCCTTTTTAGTGCTTATTTCAGGACAGATCATCTACCTGTTCTGGCAGATATGTTGACATATGTCCTATGCTTACTGCATTCTTGCATAGCAGATATCTTGAATGTTGATTCATGAATCTGTCTTTGCAGTGTCTGCTGAGGCGAACTAACACCACTTACTTTTTTCTGACTGGTGGCACATTTGACTTTCAAATGATAGCGCCAAAACAATATGGTACATTTAACAGTTTGCTGGATCATCTTTTGGACACTGGAAAAAGATCAGAGACAGCAAAAGGACTCACCTACACAAATTAGTTTCTTGAGCAAAGACGTGAAATTGAAATGCGCTACAACAGGGACCCCGACATGGTAAAATTCCTTTAAACACACCAAAACATGTTTTTATATTCAACATTTACATCAGCAATAGTGGTAATAATTCATTATACTCTTGCTTCAGAAGAGCAGCTCAACATTTTGAAGTCAAATTGCCAATTAAACACAAACTTCAAAAACACAGTTGTTTTGAGATCGACACCTACTTAAAATGTTACCAGATATAAATGGTTGCCTTGGGCAAAGGGGAAAATTGATACATCTGTAAAAGCGTGAATGTTTCCTTGCCTGCAACATTGATTTTACTATAAAAAAATGGCTTGTTAGCACACATCTAACATGGGAAACCTGCTAAGCTCAAAAGACAACATATACCATACACTACTGTGTATTAAAACATTTCAGCAGAGGACAATCCTGTGAAATGTTTGATTTTTGATACTGAATTATTTGAAACGTTTTCATAGAGGAAACTTCAGGTTGTGTAAAATTCTTTTGATGATTTACTGGAGGTCATAACTACATAATAATACAAACATTATATAACTGAGGCTCAGAGGTATTTACTGCAGTAAATCTAGCAATACATATTAGATGTTATGAATATTAACAAACATCTTTGACACAGCTCCTTAACAATATGTTTTACATGAAGGGCCCTGTTTTCATGGTGGCGAAACACTCAGCACAAGCATCACTCCAACAGTTCTTTCCCGACCTTGCTCATCTATGTGGTACTTTGTTGCCCAGAGCTGAGTGCACAGTACACAGGGGGGGATGAGAAGGCACTTCGTTTCAAATGCTTCACTGTGTTCACCTGCTAGCCGCGAACTTTGTCTGTTTGGTGCTGAGCAGGTTGTGTAAAGTGGGTCTATCAGAGCCTTTTCTCTGAAAACAGCCGCCTGCTGCATTGGGAAACGAGGCTGAAGACAGTGGTGAGAATCAATCAAAACAGTAAAGCTCTGCAACATAAAACCAGAACAATAAGCTGAAATACGCTAAAACAACCAGACCTGAAGGGAACTGCCGAGGTGGATGATAATTCTGTTTGGGTTCATCACATTACACATAGTTGTTTGATCCATTGTTCACATAGAAATATTGATGAGTGAAGTGTCTTTCTTTAAATCTGAGGACATGGTGTAGCCTTGGGACAGAACGGGGCAACTTCCTCCTAAAAGGAACTGAAGCCTGTCCTGTCTGTTATATAGAAATGTACCCATTGTTTTTAATGAAAATGATTTAATGATACTTCTTACACTATAGATTTTGCTAAAATGACATATGACATCTTTGGAAATTTTGGGATGGCTTATGGTTACATTTTTTAAGTGAGCACAGAACAGCTATCAATGCTGTAGTCACTTGTGTTGGGTGGTCATAAAATTCCTCTGCACTGTGTTTGGACATCAAACAGCAGCTTTCTGAAACATGCATTGATAAATAAGTTGTTTCATAGAATCCCAGAAAGCTAAGTTGCTACCATGCCACAGGAAACAATTATTTTCCAATCTGTGTTCCAGTTTTGGCACTCTTAACCAAGTAAGTAACCAGTAACCATTAAGACCTCCATGTTGGCTTAGCTTCATAGTGAACTCTATATCAATCAGTTTTTTTCATGTTCCAGCTGTAGGACACCAGTAGTGGCTGTAGAATAAGAAAAATATAAAACTAAAATTGTGTAAATAGTGTTTTTAATAATCCACTTTGCTATAGTCAGGTACAGTAGGTACAAGTGTTGGGAATTTGATCAAAGTCTGCCCTGTCTTATTTCAGCTATTATGATGAAAATGAGCATGGGGAGGACATTCATTTGCTATAAAAATGAGTTGGAGCTGGCATGTTGACAATGGCGTAACATGAGTGGAGGTATATGTATGTTTGTATTGCATGGAATACCACAGAAGAAGGTACTTATGTACTTTACACAATATATTTGTAGATTTATAACCCCTGCTCCTTTTATTTTATTTCAGTCTTTATTATTATTTATTTCATTTTATGTATTCTTTATATTTTCATTGCTATGTTTTTATTCCCATGGTAAGTTCTCCGCTCTGTACTCATACTGTTTGTCGGTATCTTGTATTGAAGCAATAAAGTTTATGAACTGAAAAAAAAAATAAAAATCTTGATTTCTTGCAACCAGGCACTGGACGTGACCATATATGAACAAAACGGTGGCACTAGCTAGCTTGGTTAGCAAGGTGCATCCGTAATTCATGTTAACTGTGATATTAACTGGGATGCTAATTTTGGTTAGTGAAATACAGGCTTAAAACAAAATGTGCTTACAGGAAGAATGAACATCTTAACTCCGACTCCTTTTTCAACAGCGCTGATGAAATTTACACCATGCATCTATGTATCCAATAGAATCAGACTTCTTTTTGCAACCACAGAACTCGCCCCCTGCTGGCCGTTAGAAAGAATGCAAGAAAAAGGCCCTTTGCATTGGCTTCACTTTTAAGACCCGGAGGTTCCCGATTGAGTGATTGTAATTCTCATCTGCCTTTAGTAACTTTATTGTGTGTTTCAGGTGCTGGGCAGTGCTGGAAATTGTCCCCCAGACGTCATTACCAGAGAGGTGGATGGTAGCTGAGACAACAAAGCCCAACACCAGCAGCTTGTCTGGTCCTCATTCCTCCATCTCCCCTCTGCTGTACTCCAACATCTCACTAGAAGAGTGAGTCTTTACTCTGAATGCTCTCTTGTCCTGTTTTGTGCATTTCATCTTAACCAACAATCATTTGGCCTCCGACCTACAGTACTTCATGCAAGTTATTGTTGCTTAAACATATTTTTTGTAAGGCGAAGCACTTCTTTGTCCGTCCTGCAGTGGACATTTTATTCCAGCTGATTCAATTACGTTTCTAGAGATATTAGATGAACCAAGGTTTTCACTTACTGTGTAAGTTTGAGTTTTGGTTGCCTCTACTTTAGAGGTTAGACATACAAAAGGTCTGATTCCAGTCCATTTTACTTTAGCTGAACATGACGGACCTGTCTGTCATCTTTGCTGCAATATAGATTCATTATATAATTATTTAATTAAAAATTGCTAAATGTTCCTTGTTAGAAGATGTTGATATGAAAATGAGCATCAGTCCAGAGTACAGTTTGCTGTCTGTCATCTTCAGGTTAAATAACTGCTTTATCCCTCTCCTTGTGTGCATAAACAGGGATTTCCTCCTGTAGTCAGTTTGGATTACATTTTTACTTTCTGTAATGAACCCCACCACACTGGGCTGACATTAGCAAAACTCCTTAGTTGAAACTCATTGTAAAGCTATTAAACAGCTGGTTTAAAATGGAAGTTGACAGTTCATACCTTGTAAAAAGCAGTTGACCGACGGTCTCAATTTAACTTCCACTTACTCGCTTGTTCTGGAGCTTTAAATCATATTACATGATTCTCAATCAGCAGATGTAGTTTGCTTAGTTGTTGTTGATCTGTAGATTTATCAAATGTCCTTGATTCTGAGATCCGGGCCATAAGTTTGATTCATTTCATTCTCGACCTTGGAAACAGCATTTGAAGGTTGAGTTTAAAACTGTTGTGACAGATCAACATCCAGACTCACGAAAGCACTGCAGGTATGGATAATGATGTTCTTTAGGGCCACATCTCAAAAAAAGAATAAAAAAAAGAAAAACAGAACAAAAACCTATCAAAGCTGTCCTCAAGTGTCTGAGGTAGAATGACATATTGTCAGATGACATCCATTGACATCAGCTCAGTCCTTAAATAATTTGGCAGGCATGATGCTCTTTTTACTCCATTACATTGTCCCATCCCATTCTGACATCATAAAACAGCACCAGATTGTCATTTCTAATACTAAGTTAGCTTTTTGTCATTGGAATTGTACAGTATGCTATTCTGTTGATGCCCAAAGGTGACAGTGATGATACATCAGCAGAGAATTGCGTGAATGCGCACAATTAACAGCTCTTGTACTGAATATGTAATTATTTCAAAGCATGTTTCAATTGTAATAGCTCCCTGGCTCAGGCCATCCCTTTCCATTAAATCCTCCTTCATTCCACTGATTTGCAGAACAACCGTTTTTCATTCTGATTGCTTGGCATGAATTTTTATTTCTGTGTTATTCCCCCCACCCCCCCCACCCCCCCTTTACCCATCACTGTTCATTGTTCATCTCTTTAAAAAAGCAGAGCTCCTGTGACCCACATGGCTAAGACAACCTCAGTGACGGTCTCCTCTCCCTGCCTAGCAGAGCTGTGGCTTATATAGACCAACATTGCCCTCTAGTGGAATTTTATACATTTTTGAAGTGTATCCTCCCAACCATTTCCCCCTAATCTGTTGAGTCTTTCAGAGCAGCTTTGCGCATTTAAAGCCATGTTGAAGGGGGTAATAACAGATAAAAGAGTCTCATGTGTTCTGTCAGGGATCAGACACAACAGTTTGCTTTTAGACACTTTGTAGTTTTGGGATGAGTGATACTCCTCAGGTAATGCTGATTGTGGAGTAGTTTGTAAAAGTTTGGGAGATGTGCAAATTGTAGGAAAAAGAATATCTTGATAATTTTGTCCATATGTTGCAGAGTCCAAGTATGCATGTGCTGTGTTGGGCTGTTGTCAAGACTGCCTTAGTCAAAAACAGGGGGCTGAGTTTATCAAAGCCTGCATAGAACAAGTTCTAAATGTATGCAAAGTAGGGCTGCAGCTAACAATGATTTTAGTACTCGAAGCTTCTATAGATGATTTCATCGATTCATCGTTGTGTCGTTTAAGAAGTACTTTTGCTTGGCCGCAGCACCCCCCACCCGGGTAACGGGATCAGCTGTGTACGTTGATAGATGATAGATATGTATTGGTCCTTTCGGAAATTCATAGTGTGTCATACAGCAAACATCAGACCAGCAACCAGACAGCTGCTTTACCAACACAAACATCCCCCGAGTGCTATACAAGTTATACTAAGGTGCAGCTCCCCGACACCCTGTTAACTCATGAGTGTGATGTTACAACCCAAACTCACGGTCCAACCAGGAGAACAACAGTGCATTTGTTGTTCTCCTGGTGTGCACACTTTCAGCTGAGGTCTGCGGCTTACTTTGGCTAGCCTTCAACTCAACAATCAATCATGATTTCAGTTAAATGCTAGTTGCTGTTATGTTGCCTGCGGTCTGCTGGCAGAACACCAGGGCTTTCTGATCAGGTGCCGTCGTGCGGTTGCAGAGGCGACATAAGTTTCGTTTTACGGTGGACAGTTGTTGTTTTCTTTTAGCTTGAAATAATCCCATACTTTGGACACTATCTTCTTCGTCCCTTGCTATTTTCTCTCTTCCTCCTCTTTGCAAACAGCGGCATCATAATCACGTTGCGTCCACACAGCGTAATCGCGATGTGCGACAGTAATAAATGTCACCTGTTCTACATCCATCTGAATGCTTTATATGGTCAACACATCCCTTTAAAGGTCCTGGTGGCCTTGTGGTAGAGTGCCTTGTTGTGAACAAATGTGGCAAGCAAAAAAGATGAACATTGAAAGACATCACAGACGTTAAGATACTGTGGCGTCCTGTGATAAGTCATGTGGAAAAGCTTCCCAGTGTGCACTGGTGCTGCAGACTTATGGACACATTTATGTGACAGTGAATGTGTATTCCTGCATAGTTGCTGGGGTTGTTGTATTTACATACCGTTATTTACACGTTCATTTGTTGTCAAACAATCTGCGCTCATGGAGTTAGACCACAGCTGATGTGTTGTGTACAGATGGTCTCGCTACCTTGAAGAAATGTGGGCAATAATGCCATTCCTGATCCCCATCAAAGATACTGTTTAATACTATCAACATTTTGAAATCGAGAGCCCAAGATCACCACTGTACAAGGTTCAGCTAAACCAAACTGAGGTATTGTACACTTTCACAAGCGGTTTGTACCAAAATGAATAAAGACAAAGCACAAAAAAAAGGATTCACTTTATGTAAATAGCACTTCAGTGTAATTCAAAGATAAGACATTTATTTTAATTAGCTTTTTAATTGTTGATCATTTAACAGTTTGAGCATTACAGAACATATACCTGGCTAAATAACAGCTCATTATTAATGCAGCTTGACAATTAAATGTCATTAACATATTTTTTAGATGGAGCCACATGTGCTCAGTGATGCAGTACTGAGAAATGGTAAAATATAATTTAATGCTGAAAGAAGGTATTGCTGTTTTCCTAGTAAAAATGGGGACGATAGTTGGCAATCTAGCATTAGTGACTTCAACTTACTATGAGCAGCGACAGGGCACAAGTGGAGAGTAATGAAAAGTGGAGCGACATGAGCTGTCTTTGGCTGATTGAAGTCATGCAGCCATGAGTTTTCACTGTGCATGCTGGCAGCTGTGCAAAAAGGGCCTTACAGTGGTCAAGGCAAGAGATGATCAGTGCCTGTACAAGGTATTGAGTGGCATACTGTCAGGTGGTACCTGAATTTTCTGATGTTGTTTAGTGCAAACATGAACGAGTTAGTTGGTGATTAATCACGATGCCGAAAAACCAGATTAAGCAATCGGTGGGTGGTCTGTGCTGTCAGCACAAGACTCCAGCAGGATGAGAGGAGGTGGACTCAAACATAGTGAAGATGAGAAGATTCTCTGCCAAATGTCAAACCTTTTAATTTCCTCCTTGCGGTACCCCAGTGAAAGAAAATGATGCTTGAGATTGGTTTTACCATTTTTACATTTGTGTATCGCTAGAGATTTGTTAGGGTCAGGCCAGGTTTACAAGCAGAATTAGTGAAGTTGACATCCATACCAAGCAGTGGTATGGTTGAGACGTGTAAATATTGATGATGTAAATCTCTCTGCTGTTAAACTGTTAAAAAAAAAACCCCACAAATATTGAAAATGTTTTCATAGGTAGAAAAAGCCAAGTCAACATCTTATAATATCCAAGATTAAGAAGGTCAACACAAGTCATCAATGTGGTATAGAGATGATAAGACTTAAGCATTTTAGTCCTGAACAGAAATTTCTGCTTTTTGTTTTGTTCTGAAAGATGTGGGGCGGGCGGTGGTGCAGTGGTTAGCCCCAGCCTTTCTGTGTGGAGTTTGCATGTTCCCCCCGTGTCCGCGTTAATTGGTGTCTCTAAATTGTCCTTGGTGTGGATGTGACTGTGAGTGGTTGTTTGTCTATGTGTGGCCCTGCGATGGACTGGCTGACTGATTAATCTTGCAATACTGCAGAGCTGCAGTCTCTGTTCATTCGGCTTACACTGTAAATTTCCAGCTAAACTGAGGCTTTTTGAAGACCCTTTTCTCTCTCTCTCCTGTCACCGGTCTTGTGCAGAGTTTTGCGTGCATTCCTATTCGGGGTCAGCCCTAAATCTTTTATTTGTTTAATTTTACAGATAGAAATATGAAATAGTAAATATATCTCTCAGAGGTTAGTGACAACTCCACTGGCAGAAATGATAGCCCCCAAACATTTCTTGCTTCCAGTCTTGCTTTGGTAATCATTCCTAACTCTGAGTACTGGGAAGGGGATTTCAGTCATCTTGTTTCTTTAATTAGTTTCTGTCGAAGCTTTGCAAACCTTAAATAAAGTGAAATACAGTGGCTGACTATAACTTAGTCTCTCTAAACAACTCCATGTTGGAAAATGAGAAATACATCTACTTTGTACATTGTAATTGACATGAAACATTTGTTTTGTTGTGTTGCCTGGGAAACTGACAAAGGCAAAGAATGTGAACATTCAAACATGACAAGAGACATCATTGAATCTACTATGATGAGTGGATCAAGGCTGAGGCAGATGAAAGGAAATACTTAAATAACTTCACGAAAATTGTCTGCAATATCTCAGTTCACTTTTATGAATGAAGTACAGACCCGATGAAGAAGGGACAGTTTAATATTATGATTAAGACTTAAGCTTCAAAAAATACTTTATGTGGATGGATAGACTGCAAACAGAATTTTATCAATACTGTAATAATACTTCAATAATAATCACCAAACAAATGGAAAAGTTTAGCCAGGTTTGAAAGAGCTACCGGCTGCTGCGTCTACATGTGTATTGTATTTATCTCATGATTCTTGTGTCTGAACAATTACAGACAAGTTTGAAAAAAATCTCACACGTGTTAGTGCTTGTGGAAGTTACAATTTGAGGCTATACTGCTAGCATGACCTTAGCTCTAAACCGTTGGATGACACATGTTTGTGAAAATGGCAGCGATGGGGTAATTTGATGCAAATGACCTGGGGGAAATTAAGCCCGTGGCTCCACTCGCCTCCACATATGATCATTTTTTAAGTATTTTTTACTGTAATTCTACACTGCATTCTTACATTTTATCATTGAAATGATGTGACATTCTGATTTTTAGACCTGAAAGCGGTCTAAAAATGGTCTTTCTCCCCTCTGGAACTGAAACCATTTTCTGATGCCCCCAAAATAATGTATATATTTAAATAATGCCGTGAATATCATAAACGTGCATTGACTAGTCGACTAATTGCTTAAACTAACGACTACTAGTCAACTAGGAAAATCTTTAGTTGGGGGCAGCCCTGGAGCCCTAGCCCTACACAGATCCTGGATGGTATATTTAGCTGCTCTGTGCTGTTCTCAATCCTCAAATCCTTTCCCTGTGTAAAAGTTTGAAAATACTAACAATAAAAGATACATCTAAACTTTATGTTGCTTGTCCAAGTATCATATGCATTGTATAGTAAACATTTTTACTTTTATTACATTTTTTCTTACAATACTGGACCATACTAAGCTTGACTGACTCCACACTACAATACAAGAACAATGCTGTTTCTTAATTTCCATGTCTTCTACATGGATCATAAACTGATTTAGGCTCAGATCTTGTTTGTGTCATTGCAAATCCCTGATTGCATATCCATATTTAAGACCCTTTTACAGTGTTCTTGTTTTCACTCGAATCAACCGGAGTCTGTGACAGTCACAACAAACTCCGTTAATGTTAGTTAGCTACAGCTCTGTCGGCTACATTTGTCATTTCAGTCTGCAAGCATTCTTTTGTGTTCTTCTGTCTGAAATTGAGTTTAACAGTAACTGAGGCAGGGTTTAGTGAAGGGTCAGTTGTTGCTATCTGCAACATGTCATTTAGGGGAGGATGTACTGTAGTTTCACTGGCAGCAGCCTCAGTGGAGAAAACAAGTGATACAAATGCTGACAGAGGAATCTCCTTAACCAGTGTGATAAACCCACTCAGCTTCTCATTATCACAGCTGTTATGGAAGTTTTTATTAGTTACTTAGTTTTTTTTAATTGGACTTTATTACAAAGTACAAGGTACATTTATTCATCATTTTACAACAGGGTTGAAATGTGAGATGCAGTTTGTAGTTCCCATTATGCTACAAAAAGCAAATAAAATATACAAAAATGATAAGATATGATGCACAGAAATAAACTTTTATGTGGATGCGGTGAGGATGAATTATAGAGTCTCACAGCCTAAGGGAAAATCTGCTCTGCATTCTGGTGGTGCGGCAGCTGAAACTTCGATATCTCTTCCCAGAAGGCATCAGGGTGAACAGGCTGTGGCTGGATGGGTAGTGTCCTGGGTACAGTATCCTTTGGGCCCTCCGGTGCCGGGCCGTGCACATCCCTTGCCTGTTTGTGATGTTTCCAGTCAGGATGCTTTCTATTGCTCCTCTGTAAAAGCTGACAAGTACTTTTCGTGGGAATTTGGCCTTCTTAAGCTATTATCAGCTCCTCGGTTTTGCTGACGTTGAGCAGTAAGTTATTTTCTGTGCACCACTGTTCTGATATGAAGTCTCATAGTTGTTTGATACCAGGGTGAGAGCCACAGGACGGTAGTTGTTCAGACTAGACAGATGGGAAGGTGGAGTAGACTTTACAGCTGAGATTAAAGTAAGCATAAACAGCGTTCATCAGGTAATGTGGCCTCACACATGAAGGGGAGCTCCTGCTTTTGTAGCCTGTGATTTTTTTTGACCACCTGCCACATATCTTTGGTGTTGTTCTCTCTCCACTCTCTGCTGATGTCACTGCTTTGCCTCCTTCATGCCAACATTCAGTCTCACTCTGGCGGTATTGTGTTCTGGTTGGGGAATACTTTTATTGTCTTAGTGATCACCACATCATCAATAGTTACATCAATAACCTACAGAGTACAATCCACAAATGTGTACCATGATCCACAAATATTTCCAGATCCACAAACGTATATATTTAATTTGTGTTTTATAAAGTCACATTCCCAAAAATACAGAAAGATTTGCAAACATGCATAATGTAATGTAAATAAATAAATATGCAGTAAGTATTTGAGTTGTAATTTATTGTAAGTGTATTTGTTTATACCAAAGAGTGAACATAAAGTACATTATTTTTAAGACTTTAATCATTTTATACTGTAGTATGATTTAAGTTTATGACATGGCCCTTTAACGCTATAGCACACCAGGATCTAATTATTGTTCAAGACTATCAGAGAGTGAATACACTTTTTACAGAACATTTGTGTTACAAGCTTAGAGGTGTAGCAGACGTTACTGCCGTCCCTGCCGCCACTCAACTTGTGGGGAATCCCTCACTTAACACAGCCCAGGCTTGACTTCTCCTCGATTAGTGCATCTGAAAGGACCACCACCATACAGCATTCGCAGCAACTCAAAGTAGCAGTGTATCACTTGCTTACTGGTTGGCAGGCAGCGGAAAATAACGTCTTTTTTGCTCTCCGAGGGAGCGTCTTCCTTGGAATGTGACGTCACGTGAAAATTATGAATTTGATCCTGTGTTTCCGGAGCTTAACCAATACTAGTGACTCAAATTCAGGATATCTTTACCCCTTCTCCTTTGTTCCGCCTGTCTTTCACAAGTCCCCCCAACTTTATTGAATTGTGATTTTGAATCAGTGGAGTACTTTTAACTTTAAAATAGCTTTTACATGAGGTTGAACCATATTATTGGAAATCTACACTGACACACTGATCATTCTAGAAGCATAAGTGTGATGACTGCTTCTAGAGTTCCCCTGTCTGGTATCATTACTTAAACAAAACCCCACACAAAAGACAGACTCAAACAAACCAACCTGTGTGTACTCACACAGAAAAGAAAACATGCTGCCAAGACAACAAATTCAACTCCAGAATGAAATCGAGATTGTTAAGAGTATTAGGAAACTGACCCTAGAGGAGAGAAGGAAAGAGCTCAGAAGAGAGATGTTTAGAGAGCTGAAGGAAATGGATATGGAGCGCAGAACAAGAGCTGATCTGGAAGTGCTTCAGGGATGCAGAAGAGAAAAAGAGGATAGAGAGAAAAAAACTGAAGGGTTGAAAAGGCAGAATGAGGAAATTGATGAGGAGACGAGGAGGCAGGGGGCCAAACAGAGGGAGGAGGAAGTGAACAGGGCACATGAGCAAAAGGCCCTGGAGAAACAAAAACAAGACCAACTGAAGAAAGAGAGGCTTCGGTGGAAGAAGGTGATGATGGTGGTGGAGGAGGAGCCGATCTCAAGGCCCAGTTTCGCTCTGAGTGATCTGGAAAAGGAGCAGCAGAGGAGGTGCGAGGAGGCGGAGCTTTGCCTAACCTCTGAGCTGAAGGGCCAGGAGCAGAGAAATAGAAAAACTCTGTTCAACAACTGGGTTGGAGAGCAGGGAACAGAGAGTGAGACTGACGAAGAGAAGCTCCACTCACATGGCTACACCCACCCCCCCTCCACTGAGAAAGCAAGCCCTATATCTGAAAGTGTGTATCTCATTTGTATCCTTTTCTTTCAAATAGCAATGTAGTTATTCAATGCTACACTTTGTCTATGCCAATCATTTTTCTTATGATAAAACCAGCAAGACCAAAGTCCTCTGAGGAGAAACTGAGGTTTGGACTTGAAAAGTAATGGGATCGGATGGAGAGGAAGAAGAATGCTCGCAGGATCACAGCAGATAAGTGCTATGCAAGGTGGGCTGCCTTCAAGGAGAGCTGCCAGAGCAATTTGTTTGAGCAGTTAAACGGCTACACTGAAGGTTTCACCATGTCCAGAAACAGCATCCTCAAAAAATCCATCCTCTGAATGTCTCTGTAGAGGAGTTATTGACTATGTTTCTGAATTAGTCCAATAAATATGTGCTGTATCGAAAACATTTGAGTTGCACTTATTAAGTAGTTACGATAAGCAGTATTTACGATCTGTTGACAGAAATGTTATATAATATACATCAGTATGTTTTACATAATGAGCCGATATGTTTGGATGACCTTACAATGAGCCATTTCTATCTACATACACCGCATAAACTGTGTTTGCACCCCTTACGTGGTGCTGCCATGTTTCTACAGTAGCCCAAAAGGACAGAATCTCTACAGAGTGTGTTTCATCACTACGATGAAAACGTACAAAAAAGAAGACGAAGAAGAAGTAGTAGTAGTACTAGTAGTAGTATTAGTCTGGTCTGGACCACACGTATTATTTAGCACAAGAGCCGGCAGAGTGTGTCAACCACCGTAGTTTCTCCTGTGCGTTTGGAAAGGGAGGGGTGAGCAGCGACTAGGCCGTTGGTTGCAATTTGCAATCCTCCCCACTAGATGCCACTAAAACCCTACCTTACCAGTCTGTGGTGGCCAGCGTCCTGTTTTATGCTGTAGTTTGCTGGGGAGGAAGCAGCAAGAAGAGAGACGGCGGTCGACTGGACAGACTGGTGAGGTGAGCTGGCTCAGTGGTGGGCTCAGAGCTGGACTCTCTGATGACAGTGGCAGAAAGAAGGACCCTGGACAAACTGCTGACCATACTGGACGACACCCACCACCCTCTGCACAACACCTTCATCGGGCAGAGGAGTGTGTTCAGTGGCAGACTGCTGTCCCAGCCCAGCTCCACCAACAGACTTAAAAACTCTTTCGTCCCCCTGGCCATCAGACTGTACAACAGCTCCTAGTCATGGCTATCTATCTATCTATCTATCATCTATCTATCTATCTATCTATCTATCTATCTATCTATCTATCTATCTATCTATCTATCTATCTATCTATCTATCTATCTATCTATCTATCTATCTATCTATCTATCTATCTATCTATCTATCTATCTATCTATCTATCTATCTATCTATCTATCTATCTATCTATCTATCTATCTATCTATCTACATACTGAACTTTTAAAGCAACCACAAGAAGCTTTCATTTTGTGTTGATTTTGGCGGCCCCTGTGGACAAAAGTTGTGTTGTTTCCACCGCCTTGCGTCATAAAGATCTTGATCTGGCAAGGGCTTAACCTCAAGGCTGTGCTATCGGTGTGTGAAAGATTAGTTTTTCAGCTGATGAGCAGTTAACACCTTGCATGGTAACATCTGCCACCTGTGTGTGAATGGGACATGTAGTGGAACGCACCTTGTGTGATTAATAACTGTAATATAACGATAGTGAAACAAAGTGAACTTTGTGTTACTGTCTACCACTGTGCGTTTTAGCCTTCTTTGTTCTTCGGTAAATTCTTTTCTTTTTCTCCTGCCCCAGAATCAGCCATAACCACTAAATAAAATGTCTGCTTCTAATTATTTTTTAACTGACTAACATGCTACTCACTGTCCAACTGTGCCGTAAGCTCTTTCAGTCTGCATGCCTTAAATTGTAGCCACTGATCTTGCTAATGGACTCTATTGCTTATGTAGGTCATATAAAGGCATCAGTATTAAATTGAGACAGTTTCATAACCTGTTAAAAACTCCTTGTATTTACTTTAAGATGTGTTTAAATACACAAAGGTGATGCGCAGGTGTTAAGCACTTCAAGAAAATTCAGATAGTTAATTTGCTAGTCACAGGTAAGCATCAGGTCCTAACTATGAAATGACAGGTCCAAAATCACCCTTCACCAAATTTAAGGCTATATGAATTTTTTATGCCATACTAACATACATACTGACTCTCATTAACACACACGCCTCAGAATGAATTATAATAACCTTGCTGATTTTATGAGTTTTCGTCATCAGGTCAAAAGTTCAGTTTGTCCAATACTTCAATGTACGAAATAACCTGAAAATATTAGCATGCTAACACACTAGTCTAAGATGTTGAGCATAGACGGTAAACATTTTATCAGCATGTTAGCATTGTCAAACAACATTATGGCTGACAGCCTTACAGAGCTGTGGACTGTAAGTCTGGTTCAAACAGTAAATTAGAAAAGTACATTTGCAGAAATAATGATATATGAAAAAATTTAAAGTCAGATCAAGTGTGCCTTGATATGTATTCCTATGACACAACATATACAGTCATTTGTCATCTCTAGTCTAAATGTTTTGCACGTTGCCGTCTGTTTTTTGTTGACCACAGCAGTCTTTACATATGAATGTGATCATCTAAAGCAGGGGTTTTCAAAGTGTGAGGCGGGAAGTGAAACAATATTACATTACTTATTGTCTTAGTTATCAAAAGGAGATCACAGAGAATAGCCTACATGTGTGAGAGTTCAGAGAGGCTATTCTGGCTCACATGTTGAGTGTCTATGGGATCAAATAATATAATCATTATCCCAGAGGGACCCAGGAATAGAGCGAAACTTACCAAGTAAACTAAATGTGCGGGTGGGTCGTTTCCCAAGCTCTGCCTGAGGGGAGGCCTGCAGTCTTAGACTTTGAAAACCCCTGATCTAAAGTATCATTTGTTGCCTGCTGGTCTACTTTGAAATACACAACTTTCCCTTATGCTTGAACAGTGTTACTGGCTGCTGTGAAATTGGTATCCGTTTTTAAGGAAATTAATAAGGAAAATTAATTGAGGAAATTAATAGAGATGCTTCACTGTTTTTGCAATGTCAATGTCTTTGTTTTGTCCAAGTGAAGTCACAAGTCATTGATGTTAAAGTCAAAACTGAGCTGCAAGTCTAAAGTCTTATTACTTGAGTGGCCAAATCATGTGACACTTCTTGTCACATGACGCAGAAATAGACAGCTGTACTGAAATAACGTCTCGGGTTACGTATGTAACCCTTGTTCCCCGAGAAGGGGAACGAGACACTGCGTCGGTGACGACACTATGGGAACGCCTCTGGGCGTGGCAGGGCTGAACTATGAATGAAACTACTCCACCGGCACACAGGACACATTAGCCCTTTCTATGAAGCAAGGCACTCCAGGCGGGGTGAGGTGTCACAGACGCAGTTCAAGTTCCCTCAAAGGGGAACAGAATCACAATCCTTGCATCTCCACTGATACAAATTCTTTACGACTCAGTTTCTAGGAATAATTAATTTCTACGTACCAAATTCTACTCCAGTCTGGCCAGAAGTTATTGAGAGACCTTGCTTTGGACTTAAGTGTCTGATGGACAGATGGACTTTGTGCGTGTAAAAAAAATTTTGACAAGCCCTGCTGATTTGAATTTGAATTATACTGTGCGACCACTGTGTTCATGCAGGACACACAGTGGCTGTTTAACAGATGTTGTGCACACATTGTGCAGCTGGGCTGTCTGTACCATAAGCTTGTGTTTTCTAAATGTCTTAAGTCTTTCATTTGTTCAATTTCCACTTTCCCACCTCCAGCCTTTAGAGTGAAGTTCTCAGTTGTGTTAGTTGGGCAGCAAGCAGAGGGAACCAAACGAATGAAACCTACAGCACTTTACAGCAGCAGTAGACAAATGGCCAAAATTAGAGTTTAAAATGGAAACACTGATTCATAGGTTCAGCCCGGACCTGCCATATGTTTTACTACCATTTGTGCCTCATTTAATATTTAGGACAATATTTTCCCCTACTGTAGTATTCTTGTATCTCCCCAGGAGATACCTGTGCATGCTGGGAGGTGGCCAGCTACCAGGAGAAAGGGACTCTTAATGAAGATTAATTAATGTGTGTGAAGGAACAGACGAACTTAGTGTGAAATGAAAGTTTTGCTTTTTGATGCATGATGTTGAGCACGCAGGACGTGTCGGCACAAACTGCTGGCAAACGTTTGGTCTGTGCTATTTCTGTGGCTTCACTAGTTAAAGACAAAATCACATTCACTTCATTGTTAAAGGGTATTTTGTGTGTTGTCAGACTTAAACACTGTGAAATAGTGACACCTGATGAATTTACCACCATCATTTTTTCACATGAAGCTGATATGTTGTTTCACACATGTTAACTGTGTTAAATGACAGAAACAAAGTGAATGTACAACCTGGTGAAAAACATGATTTAGTTGTTCTGTTTGTTGTTTGCTCTATTCTTCATTACTATTTGTAATGACACAATGACTTCGGACTGTAGACTGTATATAAAAACGGATGACCCGCCTCCACTTCCTCCCACTGTACAAATGGACAGTAGATTGGGTTTGGAGCTGCAGTATCGAGGTCCCGCACATACACACGGCTGACTCGGCGAGCTGGACACAACTGTCAATCATGACGTGGAGGCCCCTTTTTATAGCATCAAATAAGTAATAAACACAGGGGGCGGGGTTTATTGCCTATACTGCTGCTGGATCAAGATTGCTCCATGACACAGCAGCAAAAAATGGCTGAAGGAGGAGAGGCCGCTTAACTGCATTCAACTGACCTATGTTACAAAACACCTTTTTCTTCTGTTTGTTTTCTCTTCAGGTCTGAGAAAGCAGGAGAGATTGCAACCATTCCACTGACTAGGGTAAGCCTCCTTATGTGTGTTTGTATTGGCGACGTATAGGCCAGAAGGCATGGACATTCTGAAGTACTCTGACGTCGCGAGCATTTAAATCACATGACTGATCAGCTGTCTTCATCTTTGGACAGCATAAAACTTGGCCAATACTAGCTGACATGAAGGAACAATTACAACTTGCCCAATTGAAACATATTCCTGAGGACCTCTCTCCATGTTCCTCCATTCCTCCATTTGTATTCGGTTTGCAAACTCTACTTGATTACAACCATGCTTTTAAAAAAATAAAAAAATAAAACTGTCCTGCCCAGCAGCCTGGTATAGAGTATGATGAGCTGGATACCATGTTGTGCCAGACAGATTTTACTTTAACAAGAGAGTATTAATGGGGATGGGGGGCACAAACAGACAGCACAGAGAAAGGACAACACCTGCAAGAGAGCGGGGATGGGGGGTGGGAACAACAGGAAATAGCAGAGGGAAACACCAATTGCAGAAAGCATCAAAACCCGCAAGAGAACGGGGAGGGGGGCTTGGAGCGGAGAAAAACATACAACAAACAAACAAACACAAATATTATTACAACCATACTTAACGTCAACTTCTGACAAAACTGCCTAGTTTATTTGCTTTAACCCAGTTGATGGAACTACGCCTAATTCACATTTTCTTTTCTTTTCTTTCTTTTGTTTAAAGTTTGCTTGACAGTTAGATGGAGGCTATAGATGTACAGACATTGAGTTTGAGTCGTAAAGCTTAGTTCAAAAAGAGAACTGCAATTATGAACTTCATGAGCTGTTTGATCCGCTTCAACAGACAGATGATGCATCATGTTTCACGGGTGCTTCATTGGCGGGATGTTTGATGTCAGACATATGGTTCAGTCTTTAGACTCCTGCCTGACTCATTCACTCAGTAGTCCAGCTGTTTTTACATGTTGGTGTCCAGGAGCTCATTGGGGCATAATCTGTCCATACCTCTTCAAAATATGTACATTACATAACAACATTTCAGTAAATTAAATTAAGCCTAGTATCTCACTTTTGAATGTTATTATGTGTCTACAGCTCAGTTGAGATGAAGTATCTTGTTTGGTTCAATCATAGTGTTTTCTCATTTTAGCAAATCCATCAGTCCAAACAGTTTCCTTCCTGAACTTTTCCTGGAACCTACTTCAAAATTATATTTATCCATTGAATTGCTGATGTGAGTCAGCCCGGTAAAGAATTGTTAGCAAATTGGAGTACTTAGCACCTCAGGAGCTGACCTGCACAGAGGACAGCTGGTTCTGAGGGCGGTGATGCAGGAAGAGAGGTTGGAGTCAGTGTGGATTGACTGTTTACACAACTTTGACGTCTTGTCTGTTGTAAAATGTTGGGTTAGTTTCAGAGTTCATCAGATGAAGTCCTGCTGAAATATATTGAATCATTTTAAGGGGTTGTACTGAAAATTTACAAAATCGAAGCATTCCTTATAATTAACGCACTGTTTTGTGATGATGATTCAGCCACTAGCAGAGTGCTTATCAGGAGGGTCTTTAATAACCTTTCAATGGTGATTACTGTTGGCCGACTGACAGCAATGCCACACTGTCTCCACACACAGACACTAATAACAACCACATCTACAGTAATGGAACAAGATGAGCAAAAAGGGAAATGCATGAAAAATATAGGTTAAAAAGAACAGGATGCTCCCAAATGCTCTGAAGTCAGCAGGCTCACACTGCTGTATGTTCGGTGTTAACACGGTGTTATGTAAGCAGTGATAACGTCACCTGAGTTTATTTAAGCTAAACGAGTATCTTCGAAAGTATTGGCTAGTAAAACTAGAGCATCTTGTTAAATTGTTTTAAAATTATGAGGTGCTCTAATATTTAGGTCCAGTACAGCTATCCGTATCACTTGTAATCTGTGAACAAGCACATGGCATTTATTATTTGTTGACAGATTGATTGATTTCAGATAATGTAAACCTGCTGATTCAGAGAATCTGGAAGATTAAAATGCAAAAAAGTCATAAATGAATGATTATACGGTGTGTTCAATAAAAACATAAAAACATATCATTTGTGTGGTATTAGTTTAAGCACTTCTCTGGTCTATTGATCCAGTAATTCCGCACATCACATACTTTGTCCTGCGGCCGGCTTACATAAAGTAATATCCATGCAGGTTGTTTGATTACACCGTTTTCTCAAACACCTTAAAACATATAACAGCATCAGAACCTATTATACATTAATAGTACTTAGTGGTCTTAATCCACTGGATCTTTGTTGTCTGTCTGTCTTTGTGGTCATTTTGCACGTAGTACCTCTGTAATAATGTAATTAGTGTACTTAAATAATAAATAATAAAATAATAAAAAAAGTATATGAATAAAAATCTATAATGCAGAATGGTAGAAACAGGCTTCTCCACACATCTTCAAGCAATACGCAGCTGAATCAGGTGCTTCTCAGTTAAAGGCCAGCAAACTTCCAACGGGAAAACGGCGCACTGATTGATTTGCAGCCTTTAATTGTGCAAACAGACAAACGTTTCCACACTTCTGTGTCTTCATCACAGTCGGAATGGATAAAGACTTGAGGCAATTTATAGTCAACCTAGAACAGGTGTACTGTTGTGGTTGAACAGGATTTCTAATCTATTGGATAGTGAATCCCAGGGTGGGATAGTCAGTGCCCAAGTACCACACAACATATGTTTACACCACGTCAGAGACAAAAGAACACAGACACACCGAAATGACAAAGTAGAGGTGGTGCATCCATCCAGTGCAGTGATTCAATTCAGTTACACAGGAGCCCCGCTTACAACTTCCTGGGTTACTAATAGAAACACGCAGCAGTGAGTTGTAGTGGCTGGGCCTGGCTGACAAACTAATTGGCAGTCTGCAATCGCACAATGGAGCCGGCCCGACTTGACCTCTTTAACGGGGGGATAAAACTGGACTGGGCAAGATGTTCATGTTAAAATCCTATTAGCCTAACTCACAAAGAGGGGCTTGGGAAACTAATCGTGTCTTTCATGAAATTAAACTTTATACAAATGGGGAGCCAATCTGCAGGTTTTCCTTCCAACCAAAGTGCTTTGATTTCACTGATGAGCCCAAACTTCAACGAGGGAGCTAAGAAAGATAACTTGATCAGAGAGTGATGAAAGTAAGTCCCCCAGATAAAATGACATATAGAGCTATTTTAACACGTGCATGCTTTAAAATGCATTTCAGCAGATTCAGTTATCAGCAGCAACAGTTACAATGTTTTACCAATAACATGTACAAAACTTTCCATTTTTAAGTGTGCAGTTTATTTCAAAACTTAAACTAGAAGATGTGTACAAAAACATGCCTCTCTCCTTCCTTGTCGTGTTGTCATTTTCAACATCCACGAACATCCATCACCCCCCCCCCCCCCCCCCCACCAACCCATGTAGATTATTAATGAACGTTACAGGGCGTACTCCTGGGTGGCTCAGCTGATCCAGGTGTTTATAGCCATCAGTGTGACTGTGTCCTTCCTGGTGATGGGGTCCGCCATGAAACACACCAGTAAGTTTACTAATGCTTGAATGTCAGTCAGTAATTCACTCTGTCACCGTGTACACTTGATGGCGTAGAGCTGACATAGAGACAAAGATATTAGTGTTATTTTGACTGTACAACAGTATTAGTTGAATCTCTCTCATAGTCTGTAGGATAAATCTGAAGCTACATCCAGGAGAAGGTTAGCTTAGCTTAGCATAAAGACTGGAGGCAGGGGGAAACTAGCCTGGCTATTTTAAGCAAGCATTTATAGCTCTGGACGTTCCAAACATGGTTCGTCATAGAAGAAACTGCGCCCTAAACGTGAAGACATTTATCTCGGCCACTCAGCCCACGTATGTCCACACAAGAATATGTATAAGTATGTCCAGCTGCGGCCATGCAGAGCCTCCAAACCATGTGCATTACCATGATTTGGTAGTGGGAAGGAAGTAAAGCAGCTGCAGATCGGAGCAGATCAAAAATAAACTGAAAATGTTTTTAAAAATAGTAATTTTCTATTTTTCTATTCTATATCTATTAAGCAAAGTAAGAAGGATCCACAACAATATGCAGTATGACTTTCCCTGCAGATAATGTGGTCTAATCAATGAGTGAATGAATGCAAACAAAAGGTGGCTTAAGAAAACAAAATATTTTAAATAAATAAAAATAAACTGCTAAACATGTATTTTTACATAAAATTTGACATTTATGAACTTCAGATAATTAAAAATAATATAATTAATAAATAGCTGAAGCAGTAAGACAGAAGAAAACTGGGACAAGATAAGGAAGGTTTGGGTTTGGCTCGCTGGCCGTTTAACGTTAGCTGTATCTGTGCCTTTTGTTGTTCAACATGTTGAGTGTCACATTCAGTTCCTCCTCCAGGTTGCAAATAGAGACTCTGCATCAGACAGATGTACACTGCCAGTGTGCCAGTATTTGCTGTTCTGTTTCTGTAGAGCAACACGCTCCCCTTGTTCTGTTTTACATCTGTTTGACTTGTTATTGTTATAAACATTGTTTATTGTATAACTTTGTTGAAGTTGAGAAATACACATTTCAAAAATTCCCCTTTTTACAATAATATAATTTAATTTAATTTAAGGAGGAAATAAAGAATCAGATTTTTCCCGACACCACATGACATCACTCACCTCTCTCTGTGTTTTGTATTGACTGTCTGGTTGTGTTTCTTTCAGTCGATGGTCTGGTGAGCTCTGTGTGGAGCAGCAGACTGGAGTGGCTGTCTAAAGCCTGGGAGCAAAACCTGCCGAACAAGCAGCACATCTGCTCAGCGAGAAGGTGAGCACTCACGGCGTGCGTGGAGGTGTTTAGTTTGCCAGCTCATCTTTGTGATAGCTTGTCACAGCAGAAGTTCATGCTCGCACCCCTACAAGAAATAGTTCTGATGGCATGGGGTGAAGGTTTGGTGTGCCGGGTCCACCGACATCAGCTGTTGCATAAAAGTTTGTGTACAGTATTATTAACAGTAGCTAATAATTTCACCTCTCGAATGATAAACGTAGCTTTGTACAGTATACAGCTTTACATACAGTTACCATGGTTGTGGTAACATGCAACAGGAGGCGACGCTCACACAGGTATTCAGTGATTCTGGATGGCTTGAGTTGAAGTTGGTCGGAGTTCTGCTTGCATTTAACTGATGTGAAATTTGCTTGAAGGAAAGAACAATCACCTCTTACTTAACAAGTTGCAATAATAATTCAAATTTCAGCCATTACAATAGAGTTTTCTCACAGCAGACGTTTTACTGTCACTGCAGTAAAAACACAGGTGTAGTAGTAACAAGTAATAACATTGATGATGGCTTCCTTCAATTAAAGTGCACCAGCAGTAAGTCATGTCAGAGAGCCAGCGTGCACGCTAGCAGAGCAATGCGACTGACCTAAAAGGAATGCAGCCATTATTGTGTTATTAGTTGCACCTGTGGTTTTGCTGCCACGGCACATTGAAATGTCATCCATGAAACATGCCTGCAGAGTGGAACAGACAGACCTGCAAAAGCAATATGCTAAGCAGTGTAGTGTGGGCTGATGAATAGAAGAACACCAGAGTGTTGAATCAGCTTATTTACATCTGGCACACTCAGTAGTAGCTGCCATCTTCTCTAGCCAGACTCTGTTGCTCTCTATACACGGCGTCTCAGCTAGTATTTGCTTTATGACAGCATTAGTGGTATAAAGGTAGTAGACATATAAATGATAGAACACAACAAGCAGTTTAAAGGCTCCACACCTGCGCAGACCTCAGGTTGCTTTAAAGAGGTGGTATTCTGCTTTTTGGCTTGTTCCCTCTCCTTTATCGAGTTATATTCCTTTTTTTGTGCATGTAACAGGTTTGGAAAGTGACGTCACAGGGGTGAAAGCAAATGCGCCTCATATAACGCTCGGCTATTCTGACACGCCCTCAGAAACACCGGTGGAAAAGCACTGAGCTGCAGCACACAGCTCTCCTCTACCTTCCAAACACTAGCTACCCTCCAGGCAGTCAGTGGACATAAAGTTGTTCCTGTGATGTAGAGGCAGAGCTCAGTTAAAACTTTGTGGATGAAAGATACTTTTGTTACAGATTAATAACTCACCACTCTGAAACTCTTGCTCCAGTCAACAGCTGAATCTAAGCTGTTTACCGGCTTCTCGGTGACCCGCCCTTCTCTGCTTCTGATTGGCTAGTAGTCCTTAACTAGGAGCTGCACATGTGCAACTCCCAACAAAGATCATTTAGAGACAAGATGTATCACTCCATAGCTAAAACAAAGCGTTCAATACACAGCGTGAAAAGAGGAGCTGCAGCAATGTGCAGTATGACAAAAAATATGGTGTTTTTTTGAAAATGAAACCATGTAAAGGTGTTCTGGTACAACCCCTGAATAATATTTTGAACCTCAAAATGAGCAGAATACCACCTCTTTAATGACCTCTCCCTCACTCTGTTACTGAGCTTAACGCAGCCCACCCTTTTGTTTGTTTGATAAATTCCCGGTTTTGTAAATGTAAATGCTCCGTATCTGTATAGCGCCTTTCTAGTCTTTTCGACCACTCAAAGTGCTTTTACACTACATCTGCATTCACCATTCACTCACATTTACACACTGAGCCTAAGTGCTCAAACAGAAACTAACATTCATACACTGGCGGAACAGCCACCAGGGGCAATTCGGAAAAACAGGAAAAGGCGTCTGCAGCAATTTCAACACATACAATCACACAGGCGTCATAACATGCTGTAGTGGCGTTTGATCAGTGTGGGTGATCTGTGCACTGGTGAGGGAGTGGCATGAATGAAAGCCAGTGCAGTCCATGGATATGTGTTAGCTAGCTAGCTAACCTGTTGTTGTAAATAAACAGCATAAGTGCTCAATGTTCTTCTTCTTCCTCTGGTGTCTTTGTAGTAGTTACCAAACAGCATCAGAGACATTTCCACCACCCTCTGGCCTGGCCTAAGGCTGACCCTAATTAGCATGTAGCCTGAAAAAAACAAGACAAATTGCAATTCAGATCTTACCTGGATATCAGACACTTGGTGTAAATGGCCTATTTTTCTTCTCCCACTGGCCACATAAATGCGTACTTAACATAACAGTAATATTTAGTATTAGCAAAATCTTTTACTCTGCAGTGCTCGTCAGTTTGGAGTTGAGGCCAGACTGTACACGTCACTACCATTCTGTGAAACTATAGTCGTAAAAAAATCTGGCACATGGTGTTCCCAAGACATCTGTAGCTTTTAAGTGGGAAATAAAACAGACAACCCAAAAAAGCCTGTGTCAAATGAAAAAGGTTTGAACTAGAACACCCCAACTTCTGATAGTCACTGTACAATTCATGTCATGCAGCAGCCAACGTTATTAGTGTCTGAAGAGAACATAAAATCTGTACTACTCTGTTGAGGAACTTTCCTTCAGGCACACGACTTTCAAAGTTTCACTGCTCTTACACCATATTTCCCCACAAAGCCAGTCATGTTTATACTGTGGCGGGTTCAGTCTTTGTCCCTGCCTACAGCTCTCTTTATTATTTATTATTATTGAACCTGCAGTATTTTTCTGGCTCCCTTCACATAAATGAAGATGAAGAGGCGTGCGTGTTTACTTTGGCTAATTAATTTGTTTTCATGCTCCCCTCCTCCGTCTCTCCTCCAGCGTGGCTAAAGGATTCATGTCACTGCTTGGATTTGGTGTCATCTTTACCGTGTCAGTGTGTGATCCCAGGGTAAATGAGACACACACACACACACACACTAATAGTGATGATGATGTATTCTCCTGGAATTCTGCCAGTCACCAGTGTTTGCTCTCTCTCGCTCGCTCGCTCGCTCTCTTCAGGGTTTTGTTGTCATGTTGGACAAAGTTGTGTCGTTCTCCCTCAACACTGAAGTCGGACTGTTTGTCTTCATCATGATGAGAGAATCCAGAGAAGAGAGATTCCAGTGAGTACCTCTGTTTCTCCTTCACACATCTGTCATGTTAGAGCTATTTGATGAATGATTTTGTGTTTTGACTGAAAGTGAAGCCAGTAAGCAGACATTCAGTGCATTTAATGAATTGAAATTAGAATTGTTTTTATTTGCACAAAACAGATATCTATATTTCTTATGTTTATTACGGTAATTGCTACTATAACTGGTACTGTTACTCCTGTGATGACCGCTGCTGTTCCCATCTCCATGAATAAGAGTGCAGGTGCAGATGTTGCCTATAGTAACCTCACTTTGACCTGACTTTTTGAAAAAACAAAAACATGAATAACACCAGTTAGTCAGTACCCAGAGAATAACTGCAGACCTCTCTCTCTTTGTCCTATCAGAAACCTTGCGGTCCCTCTGCCAGTAGGCGACTCAGTCTTCAGCCTCAGTTGGCTGCTCCCCACCTACTTCCTGTTTGCAGTAACCTATGACATCCTGCAGACCCTGGCTGATGTGGCTCATTACCTGCTTTTCTACAGCCACAGCGAGGAACCACACAACCTCAATCTAACTGGCAGTTTAGCAGCAGCCAATCTCTCCACCCCGCTCTGATCCTCACGCAGCCAGAGGAGAGACGGACCAGTAAGAGTTGAAATTGCCAAAAATCAGAAGCTTTGCAAGTGCTTTGATATTTTATTCACACCTCCATAGCTCGTCATACAATGCAAAATATGTATTGTTTTTCATTATTCCCATTTAACTGGAACATTTCTTTTGTGCCAGAGGATTTTCCCATCAGACACCTGGGGCCAGATGTATATCAACAAGGCCTACACGCACAAAACATTCATACGCCACACAAAAACTTATTTATTTTAGAATTTATACATATCTGTGAGAGATATTTTAAGGTGGAGGTCTACACAACGAACTGTAGAATGGCGATCAAAGTTAAAGGGAAACTACAGTTTATTACAACTAGGGTTTGATTGTCTTGGAACCAGATGTACACACAGCTTTATGAATCTAATGAAATGTAGAGTTTTAGCCCTGAATTAAATGCATCTGGTGCTGTTGAACTGTAAATATTCAAGTTTAAATTAAATATTACATCATAGGCTGGAGTTGAGTCACTGTCACCGCGCCATGCAGAGTATAAAAATGAAATTCATCTAAATGAAAATGTATATTTATGTTCACTTGAGCTCTATCTAAGTAGTCAATTTAACAACTGTGTTTGAGAAGATTATCATGTGGTCCCCAAGAGGGCTCACAGCCTCATCTTCTTAACCATCATTTGTCACCAAAACCAAACCATGAGTACTCTAGTGCAGGGGTTCCCACTCTTTTTTACACCATGCAGTATGAATGAGCCTGGCTTCTTCCCACCACCCAAAGACATGCAGGTTATTTGGTGACTAAATTGCCTTTAGGTGTGAATGTGTACGGTTGTTTGTGTCAGACCTGTGATGAACTGGCAACTTGTACAGGGTGGACTCCGCCTCTCGCACAACGTCAGCTGGGATTGGCTCCAGCCTGCATGGAGAAGCAGTTATAAATGATGGATGGATGGATATATTGTTTCAGTGCCAGTACAGGGCCCTGTTTCAGAAAGTGGGTTTGGTGAAAACCCACAGTATGTTAAGCCCAAGACGAGGGAAACTCCGGGTCAGAGACTGTGATCAGATAAACTCTAGGTCTGTAACCCCAATTTACGCTGTGAACCTAACCTCCTCGGGAGGAGGTTTACGTCAACAAGCGCTGAGTTTCTTTCTGACTCCTCTCTCCTGCATACTGCCCATATCAAAACACATAATGTTATTAGAAACACTGATATCACGGTTAGATAGGCAATTAGTTTTTTTACCCAAACATGACACTTTTAAGATCAATCTGTCATTGATGTATGGACAAAGAGTTATCTTTGGACATTGTGGATTTATCCTCTGCACAGAATAAAATCTATAAGCTACACTGTACACAGTGGACAAGGTAGCTGTCAGGTTGGCTACAGTGCTGCAGTTTAAACTAATCTGTATAAAACTGATCAATAAACCGTAACCTTTCATATTGTAGTCGCACAGATTGAACATTTCTATCGTAGTTATCAGCTGGATATGATGTGAATGTTTCTGAGTGAGGATGACTGTGATGCAGCTGAAACAAATGTAGTTTAAAAGTGAGTTTTTCATTATCTGCTGATAAAAAGTCTGAATGTGTGTTGACAGCATTTCATAAAATACGAAATGAGCAAGATTTTATTAATGTAACATAGACGTCTAACATAGACGTCTAAAACTTCACAGTCAGTTTGAACCTAGACACATTTTACATTGCAAAAAAAATATATTAATAGGCTAACATACTGGGTGGGACTATGACTTTACAGTCCATGAGTAAAGTGTGTCTTATATTTGATACATATTTTCATCTTCAGGTAGCTACAATTGCCACCGGCATTTTGTCCCGTCAGCTTACAGCTGAATAAATAGGCCTAAAGCCTTTTTAATAATCAAATGTAGCCTATAGAGAGAACACCAGCACTTCATTCATTAAGGAAATTCCATTCTGGTACATGATGAACGAGCAACGCTGTATAAAATGTAATATTGTTAACGCATCGATCCTCCACTCCTGCGTTTTAACATAAATAGCACATATATCATATTTCGTGTTGACATGCATTCATATTTCTAGCTCCACCTGATTGAAATGAAGGCTCTGCCTTTATTTACCCGTTGCCATGGTGAATCGTATTATCGGAGATCCATTGATGATGTTTTTTTTCATCCCCATGCACGCGCTTCCATCAGGTTTAACATAGTCAAAGTTGACTGAACTTATTCTAATCGGCCTTTCTGAAACCGAAAACTGGAAACTTGAAGTTTCACATGTCAGGCTCAGTCAACTCAGAGCTCAGGGTTAACCTCAGAGTTTGTTAAACCGGCTTTCTGAAACAGGGCCCGGGTCCGCAGCCCAGGGTTTGGGAACCTCTGTGCTGGTGCTCCTCTCGGATCAGATGGATTTTCACCAACATTTGATTTTTGTTTTCATCTGAAGTAGGATTGAATCCTATGCATAAAAGTAAATGATTTAAGCTGTGCCTCCAGATGGATGCAACTTCCCTTTACGAAAAGTGAAGCGCCAAAAAAAACAAAAAAAAACAAAACAAACTACACCGAGATGAAGCATGCCACTTTAGACCAGCACGCGGACATTAACATAAAGGAGGTTCAAGCTCTTTAAAAGTCAATGTTTTAGCAGTTTATTAAAGCCATTGTTTTTTGTGTATTGACATGAATAAAAGTAGTTCATGATTCATGATGTGAGTTGCGGTGTTGGGTCAGCACCAACACTACACAGCATTTCTAGAAACACACACAAATAAAAACTCAAAACTCTTATCAAAATATATTTTATTCTGGACTTTTGTTTCACTGATCTGACTTAAATGATAACAGATCGATGTGATGCGAGTTGCAGAAAGAAAGACAAAAACAAAGGCTTGGAGACCCCCTGGGAGAGATGCTGCTGGGCTGACATGGTGCTCTGTTGTGGCGGCACGGAAAGGCTGACTCCCCAACTTTGGCCACGTTTAACCAGACACACTGTGCGGCACAGACCCAAGGATGGCGTGAACACAGAGGAATTTCCCAGTATGACGTATTTTCAGAACTGTTGGCTCAAGTGCTTTAAATACAGGGAGGAAAAAACAATGAAATTGTACACAGATTCTAAATAGGAACACGTCCATTATTAGAAATCTCCCATTTTATTACAGGGCACACAGGAGAAAATAAAGCTTGTTTGTAGTTGTACAAACATTTCACAGAAGCAGAGGTGCTCTGGAGGCAGATGTAATGTGTTTGGTTTCATTAAACCTCTGAGTGAAGCCAAACTACAGCTCTTTGGCTCTGGCCACTGAGTATGGAATTATATTTGTGTCTCAATAATTAGTGCGTGTTGTTAGCGCAGAAAAAGATATTTCATACATAAATTATATTTTAATGAGTGCTTCCCTACTCCCTTAGGGACTGGCCAACTAATGATCGGACTGAAGACAAAACAGCCAATTACAAATGACGTACTTCAGTTATCCAGTTGGCTGAAATAGAAGCACAGTCAGGCTGAACGAGCACACAGGCAAACCTGAAGATGCACAGCGCAGACATGCCGTCAACTCAGCAGGGAATTTGAATGAATGTGGATAAGGGCAACCACACAAACACGTGTACTGAGCAGACAACAGATTTTTGGCTATTCAAATCAAACTCTTTGGGTGATAAAAGGTTTTCGCTGTAAAAAGAAAATTGATATCTAAAAACTATTTTTCTGTGCTCAAAATCTGAATCTCAAACAATTTAGACACTCCATCTTCAACCAATGCAATTCTATCTGCTTCCAGAGGACGTTTCTCCACAAAACATCTGTGTGTGTCTCCCAACTGTGGCTGAAAAAAGGGGAACAAATTCCCTCGAGTCTCGGCTTGATTGAAAAATTACCATTTTATTCAATTTAAAGACTTTTTTTTAAACTGTCTTTTGTGGAAGCCAATAGGAGTTTCAGGAGAAAGTAATTTTCTGGGATAAAGGTTCCCAAAAAGATTCAAGCAAAAGAAAAAGTAAAACATTTCTTTATTACAACATAGACAAAATTTAGTGGTAATTTGAAAAACTCCTGGAAAACTCTTTCCAGGCAAGGTGCCTTCAGAATGACAGCTCAGCTCAATAAGCCTCACATGACAGGGTCTACCTTTTTTTTGTTGTTGCAAGATTTGCAATAGCATCAAAGTAACAAAAGAAAACCTTTCAAATTTATGGAACATGGAAATTAACACTGCCAATAAATCATCAATTCACATTTTTCAAATCTACAAAGAAATTACAAAAATGTAACTTTAAATTTGTCTTTAAAAGAGTACAAAAAATATCTCGTCAGTAAGGAACCTAAGCAGAATTTTGGACGTGGAGAACCAAGGATGAAGGTGAGAAGACAGCCAAAAAGTCACACTGAAGCCCCCCTCCCCCCCTCCATGCCAGAGAAAATTGGGTGGTTGAATTAAACAGTAAGAAAAAAAATTACATCAGATTAAAATGTCTGTAGTTCTCGGAGGCAGAGCAGCTGTGCAATAATTAAGTTATTGTTTGAATTAAACCTTCAACAGAGCAGAGCCACAGAACAAACAGTTAGCAAACTGGCTAATTTGAATGTTGAAGACCGAACTTTGGCCAAAATACTACTTAAAAGATAACAAGGCAATTCATTCATGACATAGCAATTAAGACATTGCCTAAAATAAACAGGCAACTTCACTACAGCTAGCAAACATGGCTATTTTGAAGACGTAGTTTTAGCTAAGCCAGCTAGCTTAATACAGGCAGGCAGAGGCTGTGTCCAAAATCACTCGCTATGTGTACTCACCAACATTTTATTTGAGTATCTTAATTCTGAGTGGGAAACGTGGGCTCTATATAGTGCTCTAAAAATTCTTAAATATAAAAAGTTATTTTCTGCTAACAATCCCACAAGGAGTCACGTTTGATAGGTACATAAATTACAGTCGTGCGACATCACACCTGTCACCGAGACAGAATCTTAATGTAATGTCACTATGGAGTCTGTTACTTAGAATAAAGAATGATTTCAGACACAGCATGACTGTCGCTCAGACTATTAGATAATCATGATCAGCCAAGTGGGCAAAGCTCTTAATGTCGGCCTCCTACTTGTAATCGTATACCTCCCACAGAAGTGTCAAACTGCTTTCTAAAGGGCAGCAAAGCCACCAATGCCGGCAGCCACATGTAAATAACCCCTCTAACAAAGTTGATTCAGCTATTTAAAACGTATCTACAAACCGTGTGTATTTCACTTGTTAATAAACCACTACAAATACATACAAAAAGTTACTTTCTGCTGTTGGAATAATGCCTGAATGCTTTCAAATAATGAATAATAGAAAAACCATTCTTGCACAAATACACCAACAGAGCTGAGCTCTAGAGTTTGTAATATTAGCAAGCTCGTCTTTTACTCTGGATTTTTCTTTGGCTCTGCCCTCTGTGGTTTAAGTCACTGAGATCGTTTCTGCCTCCAGAGCATCTGCCTCCGAGAATGTCCAATCTGCAAAAAACTAAAACCATTAAAACACATTA